GTTGGTTGAGCTCTAGAGAGGCTTCAGATTTTGGAATAAAATGCTGCACGGAGAGTTCCTGTTTATATTTTATTCAGCCAGCCCAGCTTCCTCTAGTTATTATATTACATTCTCCCCTTTCCAATTTTCAGTTTCCTCCCAATTTCATGTCTGTCCGTAGGTATGGTATTTCTCCGAGTCTCTCCACCTTCACTTTTATAGCTTTCAGTTTCTGTAAATATTTAAGTATTTTAACATAATGTAAATCTTGGGCACTTCAGAGCCTACTAACTTCAGCCTGACACATTATATGATGCTATTTGTCTGGGCTTTTTTTTTTAAAGGGAAGGGCCAGGTCCATTTTCCTCAGGCAATTCAAAAGAATAAACCACTGTCTGGATTGATCATTTTTAATGCAAATCAGTTCAGTAAGTTTAATGCCAAGGGCATTGCCCACACATGCTCCCATATATTAAAAGTTCCTTGCATAGGAGATTGGGAAAAGAAAGTATTAACATTTAGATGAACATTTTGTCCCCATAGCTCTCCATTTTTTAAAAAAAAGTACTTAACCTTGACCCTGGCTCAACAGCAGTAACTGTGAACAGGATCTAGGACTTTCAGTGGACAGTCACCCCAAGTATGAGCTAGCAGTGTGCTGCAGCTGCAGAAAAGCCAATGCAGTCCTAGTCTGCATCAATAGTGGGATAGTATGAAGAGCATGTGAAGTCCCAAAAGTGCGCTTATCAAGACACAACTACACTTCGTTTTTCCTTGAAGAAAATTCTTGGATGCGAAGCGAAACATCTTCAAGGAAAAACAAAGGAAGTCCAGTTGCCTCTTGAAAAAAACACTTTTGGGGTAACCATGACCTGGATGAGACTGAGACTCTGCATAGACATCCCATGAAATGCTAGTTCTGGTAAAACTACACTTGGAATCCTGCACCCAGTTTTGGTCACCATGATACAGAAAAGATATTGAGACTCTAGAAAGAGTTCAGAGAAGAGCAACAAAGATGATTAGGGAATTGGAAGGCTAAAACGTACGAAGAAAAATAGCAGGAACTGGATGTGTCTAACACAGAGAAGGGCTAGGGGGTGACATGATAGCAATCTTTCAATATTTGGAGGCTGACAAAGAAAGGATTGGCTTATTTTCCAAAATGCCTGAGAGCAGGAGAAATAACAGATAGAGACTTGTCAAAAAGGAATCCAACTTAGAATTAAGGAGAAATGTCTTGTCAGTGAGAACAATCAGTGGCATGGCTTGCTTCCAGAAATTGTGCGTGTTCCATCAGGCGAGGTTGGACAGCCATTTGTCCAGAATGGTATAGTATCTCCTGCTTAAGAGAGTTGGTCCCTTCCAATTCTTATTTTCTAATTCTGTTAGAACCTCATGAACATTTAGGGCTTAGCATGTAGCTAATCTTCAGAAGCTAATTAGTGTCACACTTCACTATTTCACTTGGGTCAGTTGCAAAGGGAAGTTGCTAGGAGTCGAGCAGGTCAAAAGCATGTAAAAAATGCAAGTAGAAAAATAGGGACCACTTTGGTGGGAAGGTAACAGCGTTCTGTGTGATTTTGGTATTTAGTCATGCCAGCCACATGACCACGGAGACTTCGGACAGTGCTGGCTCTTCAGCTTTGAAAGGGAGATAAGCACCGCCCCCTAGAATCGGGAACGACTAGCGCATATGTGCAAGGGAAACCTTTACTTTTAGGAGTCGAGCATGTAATCACTGAAAACATCTTGCAAACGCCTTAGGTAGATATGGAACAAATGTGTTTTTCCAACTCCTGTCAGGAGATGGCGCTCATGAAGGAAGCATCTGTGCTAGAGAGCCAACAATACAGTAGCTGCATCTGTGGTTGAGCTTAAAGGAGTTAAAACCATCAAGTTACTTTTATTGCTAGAAAGAATAGGAGGAGCCGAGAAGCTCAAGGAATTTCCTCTTCCTGCTCATCCCTGGGAGGCAGGTGATGTGCATAGTGGCTTTTGTGCTCTTCCAAGGGTGGAAGCAGCAGTTGGAAGGTGAGTTGAAGACAGGTTGGAGGAGAGGCTGGGAGCAAGAAAGGCTGTTTGGTTCGGGTGCTGATTTATGAATATTTATGATGGTTGAAACATGATACCCATTTATGACTTTGCAAGCTAGCTTCTCATAAGCAAAGTCAGTGGGGATGCGGGCAAGATCCTTACAAGTGACAATCGTGAAATTGACTTTAACAACCCACAGTGATCTGCTTAACAAGTGCAGAGGAGCAGATGTAAGTGGGCACTGCCATGTGGCATCATGCTTCATGATCAAGCTGCTTAGTGATGCAGATGCCAGTCCCAATTGCTGTAGATAAGTGAGGACTGTTTGAATTGAAATGACACCAGAATGGCTATGGACAGTATTTTCTGCCCTTATTTGGAGCTGAGGACATTTTTCTGTCTGAAAATACATGGTTTTTCTACATATATGCCTTTATAGGTGTGTGTATTTGGACTTCTCTCAGTAGGCATATATCTACAATTGTATAATCTATCCCTAGCACTTCCAGATATATTTGATGATAACTCTTTGCAGTGCTAAGAACTTATGATTGATGCAAGTCAGTAAGAGAATTTCATGATTGGATGGCTATTTGAACTTGGATCTCTCTAATCTCTCTAATCTCTCAATCATAATATAAGAGGTTATTCTAGCATTGTAGCATGTTTGCTTTTCAATGGGATGTATACTTTTTTTCTTTTTCTCACATTTTCTGTAACCATTTTATAAATAATTAAAGTTACACTTTTCTTTGCATCTTACAGACAAAGAGGATGCCAATAAGAGCATTCTGGGCAACTGAAGAGTAACAAGCAAGGTTAAGAAATCAAGCCAGAAATCAAGTTGTTTTACATTTCCTTCAGAAAACCACACAATTCTTCTCCTTCCCCAGAAGCCGGGGAACAAAGGATAGAAAATAAAAAAAGAAGATTTTTCAAGCTGGAATTAGTAATTTATATAGAACACAAGAATACATTGTATGAAAAGATCAGAGGAGATTATTTTTCCATTCAGAAAAAGAAGGAAATAATCTGGAAGTCAGTGTAGAGTAAAAGATCACATTGGACAGTCACGTAGGGCAGACATAATGCAGGCTTCACACTGTGAGGAAGAAAATGCTTTGAATCAAAGTTCCACCCAACAAGGACCACACATATTTTTGACCTCTTCAATATCGGTGGTGGAACAGCTTCATAGATCTACCTATTGTGAGAAAGATTGCAAGTCACAGCTGATTATGGACAACCGGATCCACATTGGAGAAAAGCCATATAAATATTCTGAATGTGGCAAAAACTTTAGTCAAAACTGCTCCCTTGTGGTTGATGGAAGGACCCACACAGAACAGGCGCCGTACATGTTTTCCCAATGTGATGAAAGCTTTGGCATGCACAGCAACTTGGTAATACATCAGAGGACTCACAACAGGGAGAAATCATATGACTGTCCTGATTGTGGGAAGAGTTTCATTGGAAACTCTCACCTCATGAGACACCTGAGGACTCACACAGGAGAGAAACCCTTTGAGTGTCCTGCTTGTGGGAAAAGTTTCAGTCAGAATTCCACCCTGGTGAAACACCAGAGGACTCACACAGGGGAGAAGCTCTTTGAATGTTCTGACTGTGGGAAAAGTTTTAGTCAGAATTTCAACCTGATGATACATCAGAGGACTCATACAGGAGAGAAACCTTTTGAATGTCCTGACTGTGGAAAAACTTTCAGTCAGAATTCCAACCTGGTGATACATCAGAGAACTCACACAGGGGAGAAATTGTATGACTGCGCTGATTGTGGGAAAAGTTTCATTACAAATTCCCACCTGGTGATACATCAGAGGACTCACACAGGAGAGAAACCCTTTGAATGTCCTATTTGTGGGAAGAGTTTCAGTCAGAATTACAGCCTGGTGATACACCAGAGGACCCACACAGGAGAGAAACCTTTTGAATGTCCTGATTGTGGGAAGAGTTTTAGTCAGAATTCACACTTGGTAATACACCAGAGGATTCACACAGGAGAGAAACCATATGAGTGTCCAGAGTGTGGGAAAAGTTTTAGTCGGAATTCCAGCCTGGTGGTACACCAGAGGATACATACAGGAGAGAAACCGTATGAGTGTCCAGAGTGTGGCAAAGATTTCAGTAGTAGGTCTAGTCTTCTAAGTCATGTAGGCTTACACACAGGGGAGAAACCTTTCAAATGTCCAGTCTGTGGACGGTACTTCATGCGTAAATCATCTCTTATTGCACACAAGGAAATCCACACAAGGCAAACATTGATGAGTTTAGAGAAGGCTTGAATTTCATTTCTGATCTCTCATTGGGAATGTAGGTGAGAAATTGTCTGCAGGTAATCCTTTACTTACCATCATAATTGAGCTCAAAAGTTCTGTTGCTGTGTGAGAAATTTGTTAAATGAGTTTTGCCCCCTTTGATGACTTTTCATACCATTTGTTAAGTGAATCAATGCAGTTGTTAAATGAGCAACATGGTTGTTAAGTGAATCTGATTTCCCCATTGACATTGTCAGGTTGCAAAAAGTGATCCCATGACCCTGGGAAGTGTAACCATTGTAAATGTCAGTTGTCAAGTATCCAAAGGTAAATCCCGTGACCATGGGGATGCTGAAATGTTCATAAGTGTGAAAAATGCTCATAAATCACTATTTTCATTGTAACTTTGAATGGTCATTAAGCAAACTGTTGTAAGTCAAGGACTACCTGCATTTGAATCCTGGCCTACTGCTTTAAGTGAACACATATCAGAATAAGACAGGTAGATGGAGGGGAAAAAAGAGGAAAATCTGAATTTGAAAAACGCTAACTACCAATTTCTGATTATCAGCAAATAATTTCTGGATATTTCCTGTTTCAGAAGTACAGGAATTCCTCAAAAAGGCTTTTGGGTGGTGTTTTTTGTATATTGATTGTGTAATTCCCACATGCGGAGTTTCCACCTTCTACCTTGGTGTCCACCAGCTTTTGAGCTCCAGAATTCCCCAGCCACTATACAAGTAGTAATTGATATACAACTCTAATGGGGCCTGCCAATTAGTTGCCTGTTAAGTGAGACTGTTTTGCTTAACTAATCAGTTCTCCCTGATGCAGCAATTAAACGAGTCGTTAAGTGGAACAGTGGCTACCTCAGTGTTGGGAGAAGCTCTTGGAGTCCAAGCGTGGGCCAGGATTCCCTTCCCTAGGCCTCTCCCAAACACCCGGTGCTCTGCTTCCCAACTCTTGTGTTCCCCCAAGCCTTTCCCTCCCCCACAGGTCCCACACAACCTTTCCCCCTCCCCAGGCCTTTTCCCACTCCCACTGGATCTCTGAAGCCCTTAGGCCAAACTCCCACCCCACCAGGCTTCATACCCTAAACCTCATATTTTGAAGGTTTCTGATCTCACGTTGTGAAAGGAGGGTAGACCAACATTGATTGTGTGCTGAGAGCAGTCATCATTTTCAGAGTGCCCAGGATACACCAATGGGCCACACAATGTACTTGTGGAAGCAGCTGCCATTTTGCCACACCTGTCTCAGGGCCAAAATGGTGGCTGCTTTTGAGTCACTGTTGTGTGAGAGAAACTGCTCTGTTTTGCTACTGTAACAATCTGCAGACCGCCTTAAGGAGTTGGGGTGCTCTTAAAATGAGGGATGACTCCGGGATACCTCCCAAAAGTAAGTGTATGATAGGTGTCCGGGGGAGTTGGCCCAAGGCCCAGTGATAAAAAGCAGTGTAAAATTTCACAGGTAAAGCCTGTTTTGCCTTGCAGGTGAACCTGCTGAAGAGCTGTAGGAATATTGAGTTGAGGAGGAAAGCGGTTGAGGCTTTGATCACAGGATCTCCAGGTTTATTAGCAACTCCTGCTGGGATCTCACCCTTTTGGAGGTGTCTGCTTATTACCATTTGATAGCTGCTGGGTGACAGCAGGACCAAGTTGCTGAAAAAACTGTTGCATTCCCTTGCTGGTAGCGATGTGAGGGGAAAAATTGATCAGTGGAAAATGTTTCATTCTTAAAAATGCATTGTGTAAGAACTGTCATTAGCTTTTGACAAGGAAAAAGTGGATAGTGTTGCTATGAACATCTGGGCAAGGCAAAATGCTCAGTCCCCTCAAACTGTGAGATGTGCAGTGAATAAATTTAATAATAAAATAATAACAAAAAGATAACGTAAAGCCCTTTTCTGATCTATCCGACCTGCTGGGTTTCTAACACACTACAATTGTTAAGCCACCTTGTAACCTGTCTCTTGTGAATTCTGCATCTCTATAACCAATCTGTCTTCTTCAGTTTCCCTTCCCTCATTAAAAATGTAAAGTTTCAGTTCCAATTGTGCATCAGTCCCGCCATTCTGTCCCTCTGATGACGTGAGCTGCAGTTAGGTTTCTGCCTCTTAATTTATTGTTACATTGCTATCTGCCCCAGTCCTAAATTCTATGAAAGTACGACATTTCATTAGGCACAGTTAAAAAAATTGAATGGCTAAACTGGATTTGTTTTGCTTGCCATTCTTCTCAGTTTCAGGGCTGTTCTTCTCCATCACTATCAGTCTGAGAGATGGAAATAAGGACGTTTCAAACTGGGCACCTAAGCTATGGTTTCCCTTGTAACTTTACAACCTCTAAAGCATTGGTTGTGCCAGTGGATTTGTAGGCTTTGAAAATCATAAAATTACAGAGGATCTGTCTGTCTTCCCTGATGATTCTCCCAATTCTGAACCGAATCTGGACATTGTGAAAATAGAGGTTCTCGTGGATGGAGTCGGTGAATAAATACAAAAGTTTTTTTGTTTTTTGTTTTAAACCTGCCAATGATTTCCTTTAACATAAGAAGAACTTGGCTGATCAATTTGAAGCTAGTCCTGAGTTTGGCATCTGGGGTATCTGAAGGTGCTTGTCACCCCTCTTAGTTCTTCTGGGCTCTTGTGTCCAATGATTTTATTCTTTCTTTTAAAAGATTGAGAATGTCACAAATTATTTAATTAAAGTAAACTTCTGTTGCTGCAAACGATCCTTGTGTTTACAACCATCACATTGTTCCCTATTCTGTGACAGCTACACTGCATGCTGTGGATAGATTATACTGTTCAATTGTAGATACATGCTTACAGAGAGAAGTTCAAACACACACACACACAAACACTCTTACAAATGTATATATTAGAAAATCCATGTGTCTTAAGCCTGAAGAATGTCCCCAAATGGTTACAGTGAAATATGAGCCCATTTTAGAGATGTGGGGACTTTGATGAAATGATGCCTAAGGCCTCTGCAAGATTTGAAAGACCAGTTTTGCCCATGGAAATCCTCAGCTCAAAGTAAGGGTAGAAAATCCTTTCCACAACTATTTTGCTGACATCCCCATTTAAGTAGTCATCACTTGCTGTCTGCATTTGGGACTGGCTTCTGTGTCACTATGCAGCCCAATCATGAAGCATGATGTCATGTGAGACTGCCAACTTAACATCTGTTCCTCTGCAGTTGTGGGTTGTTAAAGGCAATTTCACCTGACCGTGGCTTGCAACATCCTGCCGGCATCCCCATTGATTTTGCTTGTGTGAAGCTAGCTGGGGAAGTCACAAATGGGGATCCCAAGTGTGGGATGCTGCAATCATCATAAATGTGCACCGGTTGGCAAGAACCCAAATTGGTGCAACTCCTTTTCCTGCACCTTCATAACCACAGGACCAGCTGACTTGTTCAGGTCACTGAACATGTGCTACAATGACCACAGATTTGTGGATCAGGTGTACGTCTGTTTTCACAGTGCCATTGTAACTTTGAAGGCTAATGAAACAGGCTAAACGAGGACTACCTATACAAACTGAACACCTGAAAAGGTCCTCCATTGTAGTTGAATCTGGTTAATACACGGATGGGGCTCCAATGGGAAATATTGTGCTTGTTGGCTATACATGAAACTAAAACCACAAAAATTTCAGAAGAGACTGTGGCCTCTCAGTGCGCCTCCTCCCCCTCCGAGTCCCCTCTCCATCTCGCAGCCTCCTTGCCCACCTGGTGCCCCTTGAGCAAGGAGAGGAGGAGATCTCCCTGCGAGCCCTAGATTAAGAGACCGTTTGGGTGACTAGGAAGGGAGGCGGGAGGGGAAGGAAACTGGATTCCCAGCCCCCACCTTCCCCGCCTCCTCTCTAGGCACAAAAGAAAAGCTCTTTGCGTTGAACCACTTGGCTGAAACCACTGAGGGGAGGGGGTGACTGGGGTACTGCTGAGCAGTGCCAAAGTCCTCCAGCCAGAGACTGCAAAAGACCATCATACCCCACTGGAAGGCCAAAAGACCAAAAACAAGGATCCACGTTTAAAAAGATAGTTGCATGCGCTAATCTCCGCCTCTAAATTGAAACTGGAAATTTGTCGCCATTGAAAATGGACAAGAAACTCCTGTAGATGTTGAGCTACAAAACCCATCCTCCTTCACCCTGGCATTATTGCCTCAATTTGCTCAATACAATATCTAACCTTATGCAGTATGTCAAAAGGAGTCTGGTAGCATCTTTTCTGACGACAAGAAATTGCATTAAAATACACGACTGACTCTTAATCTGCAAAAGGGCTACTCTTCACTCCTACAGTTTTGGGGTCCCATAAAGTCACATGGCTCTCCTCCCAAAAATAGGGAAAATCCCTTGTTCTGAGTAGGAGGATCCATTTCCTGCCTGCCTTCTCTTGTTTTAAGGGTTCTCATCTCTAAAATGAAGCTGCACCCAAAAAACAACTTGATTCCCCCTTTCCATCAACAGAGTTACATGTTCCCCAAAGAGAAAAATGAAATGAGGAACAGCAGCCATCGGACACCACAACGCTCTTCCTCACAATGCCAGGCTATCAACATTTCAGGTAATTTTCAGAGATTTCAAATGGTGAGGGATCCTGAAATTCAAGGGGAGGCCCCAAGCTACATGGTTCCCCTCTTGTTTGATTGGCAGCAACATATTTACCTGTTTAGTGCTAAGGGAGATTTCAAGCAGCAGTTATTTATTTTCATCTCTGTACCTGTTGGCACCTGCGTTTGGTTGCTAATTGACTCTGTACTGAAGCTCCCTACTGTTTATATTTTGGAGCAGTGGTGGGATTCAAAAAGTTTACTACCAATTCTGTGGGCGTGGACTTGGTGGGTGTGGCTTGGTGGGCGTGGCAGGGGAAGGTTACTGCAAAATCCCCATTCCCTCCTGATCAGCTGGGACTCAGGAG